ATCTAATCTTCACTGTACATAGCAATAATCTAAAAAATTGATGGATGCAATATTGAAAGTACGCTTAGAAAATACTGCGCTCCTCTACGAATGAACGAACAACCCTTGAATATAACGCAGTTTACACACAGGATTATCTTTTTTGGTCCAGAAGAGGGTTCAATTTTTATGAATTCTAAGTTATCTAACATAATACAGGGGGTAACGCTTCCTGTAAAGAAAATAAACCTACCTTCATCCGGACCAAAGATGCCCTGTGGCAGGTTTCTTCAAAAAGCGGTCCAACGGTTCTGGAGAAGAAGTCGAAAATAAGAAAATAAAAGACAATAAGACAATAAAAGAAAGACTTGGACAAATAGATGCTTTTGGCAGAATTCGTTAAAATGGGTTATATGGTTATGGTGAAGCAATCAAAATAAAAAAAGGTTTAGACTACAAAAAGAAGGATTTTGACAAACAGACAGACAGTCATACAGACACCGGCAACTTTTCGATCGAATAAACTGAAACTCGCGAGTTGGTAAATTTATTTCCATCGATTATATATTTTATTCAAAATAATCTGTTTTGCACAGATAGCACCAAGTCTTTTCTCTGTCGTTCTTGAAAACCTCGCGAAATATTACTTCTTATTTACATCACAATGTCATTTTAATTCTATCTGTATCTTTGAGCAGCACTGATTATTACAAGAAATGTGAGATGACCATGGTACCTGTTCGGTGGATGCCAGAAGAATCCTTTAAAAATGGGAAATTCTCTTCCAGATCTGATGTTTGGTAAGTTTATCATTCAACAATGGCATAAAATCCAAGAAGTCCGAATGCAGATCTATATAAACTGAACCAGGGATCACCCCTCAAAATGTTCATCTATCCTTAAGTAAATGGTAACTGTATGCCTTATACATGTAATTGAAGCTCGATTGATGCCAAAAGAATAATTAAAAATGGGAAATTCTCATCAAAATTTCATGTTTCGTAAGTTTAGCATTCAACAATGGCATAAAATCCGAGATGTTCAAGTTATAGAGATAAACTGAATCAGACCTAATCATCCTTAAAACTGTCCATCTCATGCAATTAAATGATAAGGTAGTCCTCCATGCATGTAATTGGAACTAACTTACAAGTTGTGTAAAGTAATATCTGAAATACCGTTGATTATTAGGGCATACGGAGTGTTATTATGGGAGATATTTGCATTCGGACAACTGCCCTATGAAGACCTTACAAATTGTGAAGTGATGGCAAAAGTTATGAACGGACATAGAATGGGCCAACCAAGGCACTGTCCAATTCAAGTGTGAGTTTTAGCTTTTGAACTTAAAAGTTGAATTTGTTTGGTTTTTGAGCAGTTTTCTTTTATTTTTTTGTCTTGTACGTGTTGTACCTTGTAGAGAAATCTCAACGTAGCAATTGGACTTATGGAGTTTTATGAAGAGACTTACTTTTACATTTGACAGCTGACTTACACATTTTAGTAATTGGAGTTGGTCTCTGTTGTCGTTTGTAAAAGTAAGTCTATTCATATAAATCCTTTACGAGAAGCACTGACTTTTTTATAGTTGTGTGTGTACTTGGACATTTACACTTGTATCACCTATGGAGGTACAGAATTGATAATTGGTTAAAAAAAAACCTTTCTAGTGGTCATTTAGAAATGGTGTTAGGGACATTATATGTGAGGACCTGGATTTGAGGGTAGGATTTTTCTTCAAGGACAACTTATCTGGGTTTGAAATAGCCCGTTAATTTCGTTGAAATAAATCTTGAGTTAAATATTTATATCGTAAAAGAGCTTCCGTGCACTGTCCTAGTGTAGGAGTAATTCGTCAACAGTAAAAGTCAGCAGTTCTCGTAAAAGTCCATTATTTCTATGTCACAGTGTCTACATGTATGTATGGTTGAAATCGGAGAACTTTTAGTTCGTACCCGCTCGTCTGTCTTTTTCTTTCTTTTTGAGTGAAATATGTTCTTGATGTAATAATCTTTCCTGCAGTACCTTCATTATTATTTTTTACAATCATATCTCAAAATTCTCAAGCATTCTGAGAATATTGCTATCAGCAACTGTTAATTCCCCATAAGAGTTAAAAGGAGACTATAATTCCTGTAATAATAAATCTTTCGGTAAAAATCAAACTTGTATTAACATAGTATCTGCAAGCCCTTAGGGGAAAAGTGCAGTAAACCAAGTGGGAAATTAGGTTTTCCTGTGAAATTAAATTAAGATCATGTTTGTGTCGAAATCATCGAATGTAAAGAATTTTAAATATGATTTATAACTTGTTATGATACACTGACATACCATAAATCAACCCAGTATCTATAAGCGTTAATAGAAAATCGCGGAAAACGATGTGGACAAATTGAGAGGCAGACAAACAGGGAGAAACTTATTTTAGACTGGGTCTTTAGAAATTCAAAAGTAAACGCCGAGCGCTAAGCGCCTCAAATGAATCTATGCTATGAAAACTGTGCTGCTATTGCCTTGGTCGAAATACACACCCGCTTATTCAAAAGTTCCAACTGTTCAAAAGTTATGACCGAGGTTAAAGTTTTTTAAAAAGTGGGTCAAACTCTTAAGTCAAGGTCAAAAATATTTATACCAGCTGAAAGGTTGTCACAATGAATACACCTGAGAAGTATGAAAGCCCTAGCTCCAAATGTTCAAAGGTTATCACTTATGACCAAGGTAAAAGTGTGTTACTTTTTTGTAAAAGTAAGCAAACTCTCCAAGGTTAAGAGGCCATAAAATTCATGGACCCTGAGTCAGCGGTTTGGATGTTAGGGCAGTGCTCTATTAATTATGTAGTGAAAATGATTTTTTTCTTTGAAATAATTCTGTTTTATCCCTAGTGTTGAACAGATAAACAAAGTGCATAGTTATGATTAATAAGGGTGCTTCTTACAGGATTTTTAAACTTCGTGGCCAGGGTGAGGGACTTTTGTTTCTCATTAGGGGTGATGTGCTGTTGATATTACCGGTATATTGAAAATATGATAATTCCTTTTAAAAAATCTCTCCAACTTAGTGCAGAACTAAGTAAGGAGTTATGATAATGAGGGACCTCTTCCAAATCTGTGAAATTCATAACCCTGAGTCGTTGGTTTTTGGTATTAGGGCATGGCCGTGTTAACTCTATAGTGAAAATGCATTGTTTCTTTGAAAATCTTCTTGGTTTCTTGCTGTATCAAAAGCAAACAAATAAATGTTTTAATAAGCAAGGATATTTTTACCAGATTTTTAAAACATCTGGACCATTTGGTCAAGTGTTCTGGTTCTGGCCAGGGCTCTATAAATTTTTATTCTACTAAATGAACATATTCCCCTTTGCAATTCACTTTTGATTATTATTCACATTAAATAATGTATTTCGAATCTTAATAGAAAAGAGAAATTATGCAAAAAAAAAAATTGTATAATTCAAAAACTAGTTTCGTAATTTTAATGATCAGATAGAGTTGTAAATAATAGATAAATAAATATGACACTAAAACAACTTATTAAAATGTCCTTCAAAGACCACGAGAGGCCAATGTGAGATACTCAGTATTACATTTTAGGGATATAAATACCGTGATATTACAGAAGCAGTTAGTTATTAGTCTGAAAGGTGATAGAGATAAATGTGGCAACAGATTAAAACTTAATTTGTTAGTTGTTACTTAATATTAGACTAATTATTTCATTGATCCTGGTCATCCTACTTCTCTCGCTTTTGGGAAACAAAGATTTATCTACCAGTTTATTTTATTTTATAAGGATTTTCTAAGTTGTTGTTTTATACTCAGATGACCGTTAAGGCCCTAAGGCCTCTTGTATAAAGCAAGTATCAAAACCATCTAAATATCTACAAACGGTAAGAGCACCTGCTCTAGAGTTGCGTTATTAGGAGTGATCCGTGCGTCGCGGGCTCGAAGCCAACTGTAGGTCGTAGAGACCGTATTTATAGACCGATTTCCTGTGTCGAAATAGATGCTGATACGAAAAAAATCCCTCGCTGCTCATTCGTCCTGACTGTCGAGTATAAGTCAAAATTTGTAGTTCTTAAACACCCAATTTTATGTTAACGCCCCCAAAATCCCCCCGATTCAAGATCAATAATTTACCGCCTGTCAATCATTAAAAAAAAACAATAGCTTCTGATTTGATTGACAGATCAGCTACCTGTGCTACCTGATAATAATCTGAGTTTGCATGTTTTGAAGACAATTGCCTTGTCGCACGCCAAACAATTTCATGTACCCGCCTTGTATACACGCGGGTTAGAGAACTCCAGTATGTTTCAATTTTATTTCAAAAAATAATTAAAAGTAGATTATTAAAACATTAACTTCATAAAATATTTCTTTTCTATCTTCACTGCCGTTTGTTTCTTGAAAGTGTTATATCGTCCACGATACCTGTAGAAAAAAGACCGTCCACAGAAACCGGCTCAATTTGCCGTAATTGGACGTCCAACGATTTAAAATTATTTTTTAAGAAATGGGATAGACCTATAAGAAATATTCAGCACTAATAGTTTGTACAATGGCTACAATCTGCACATTTTATTTCAATATTCAGACGTTTTTAATCATGGTGATTTCTTTTATTGAAAATTAAAAACAAATAAATATTTTTGCTTTGTATTTTTTCTTCAATTTAACAAACACCTTTTGTAAAACGATATAACTTTGTATTTTTTCCTTCAAAACATTACCATGAATACGTATAGTTTGTAATTAAATTTCTTATTAAAATAATTATTTTGCGTAGTTTCACTCAAAACACGTAATGTTGACCCTGATTACCAAACACAGACTTCCTGTGTACTGCTACGTGTACAGAGATTTTTGACTTCTTGGGTATTGGGGGTCTCCAGGTAAATAACACCACTGTTACTTCGACCACTCCCTCTCTTCAGGTAACCGTACGGTAAAAAAATTGGGTCTTTAAACGGCAAGAGTGAAAATTACTCCAGAGGGACGTTATACTAAAAGCAAATGAATAATATCAACCATTATGAAGTTGTTTTTTGAAAACATCTTTCAGTAGCGTTTCAGTACTTTGATTACTGGTGACGTCTTACAGGTATAACGTCATGGGGGAATGTTGGAAGACTGAGCCAGATAAACGGCCTGGTTTTAAGACAGTAGTGACACTGCTGACATCGATATACACACATACATTTTCTCAGGTAATGTACAGGGCTTTTTTCTTTAAAGTGGTGTCAAATGCATGACTTTTTTTCAGAAGGTAATCTTTACTTAGGTGTAAAGTGCCTCATTGAACATAGATTTACATTTATCTATTTTTGTAAAAAAAAAAAAAAAAAAAAAAGAACACATCACTTTGATTCCTTTTTAAAGATAAATGAATTTCCAAAAAAGGGTTATTTTGTACAAAACGTATGGGATTAAAGATATTTTATACTTACTTAACAACTTAACATGAGTTAGCTGCAGATCTGTAGCTCTCCGAAAAATTGTATTGATAGACCGGAGAGCATTTATTGCTACGTGGGTTGTTACCTCCGTTCAAGGTCACAGGTGTTAAAAAACTGTATATTTATGTTGTTTTCGCATTATCAAAAAAAATACATACATATTTGTGCTTTACGCATCATTATCGCGAATTTTTCACAATAAGATACAGATTAATTCTACCAAATTCTTACCTCAATTTTTTACATTTGCAAAAACTGGAAAAAAATATTGATTTCAAAAAATTCCTCTCTCCTCTATCAAGTTTTGACTTTCGTAGCTGACATCTGTTATTTAGAAAAAGGATATATTACCGAATTATCTTAAATTTTAACCAAAATGGCAGTATAAATAAGTTTTCGAAATGTTCGATGATTGCAATATCAGGGCCAGGAGGAATTGCTATTAACAACAATTATGAGTAGTGTTTTGTTGTGGAAAGAGTCATAAGAATATGTTATGGAACACACGATATTTTTTATTTACGGTTAGTAATATTTTGAAATGACAGTTTTAAAAACATGGAGAAATAAATGAGAAACAGTGCTCATTTATGTGCGCAATAAATATACAGTTTTTTTTTTTGAAAACATCTTTCAGTAGCGTTTCAGTACTTTGATTAATGGTGACGTCTTACAGGTCTCCGGTCTATTATATATACACACATATTTTTCGGAGAGCTTTTTTTCTTTAAAGTGGTGTCAAATGATCTGCAGCTAAACATGAGTGCACTTTTTAAATATATATTTTGTCGAAAATAAAATCGCTTTTTCCTGTCCTTTAGATCGTACAGCCAAATTCTAATGGCATATTCTCTATGAACATGAATGGCGGGAAGCACCGTTTGAACACTTACTCGTTACCGGAGGAAACAGAAACCGTGATGCCTCTTTTAGAAGGAGACTGCAACACAGCAACCACAGATGACAATGTATTTGAGGCCAACTCATCCGTGTGATCTAATATTAATTTTATTTATTATTTCTTAATTGTATCTAGAAAATAAAATTTCCATAGGAACAATAGATAGAGAGTTTATGCAGAATTATTTTTGTCAGACACTGTAATTTTTGAAAAAAAATATTTAAGAATTTTATTTCAAGTACAGCTCATGTAGGACAGCAGTCAATTTTTAACATATTTTGAAAAGGAACTAAAAGATGTTTTAACTGCCGGACACCATTTGTAAAATATTTTCAAACAAGAGATGTTTGCAAAAAAAACTTTCCCCAAATAACTTGAATTTTTCTTGGTCCAATGGGCATTACTCAGTCAAAAAAGCTCATAAAAGAACTTGACCTAGATATTCTTATGAAATATCTGGATACCACATTTCATTTTAGTATGTGCAACCACTTTTAGGAAAATGAACGGAAACTTCGTGGACAGACCCACCGACATACAAATCGCAGCAAAGCAATATGCCCTCATCTCTTCGAAGGGGGCATAAAAAAGTTTCCTAGGAAAAATGAAATGAATACACATTTTAAAAAAAAATCTCACACGAGAACAAGCAATACACTGTTTTGTCACCTTCGTCCGTAGATCTAGATAACTTCAATATTGTTTCAATTGGCATTTCTGTAAAAAAAAAAAAAGAATTTTAAAAATTTAAGTAAAGTTTATACTAATATAAAAGTAATTATCTTTGAAAAAACTAATGAGCTCATGCTGAGTTATAATGTGTAGTATCAGATTATTCTTTAATTTCCTCTAGTACTAGTGAATGTGATCATGAGTTATTAGAAGTACATCAGAATCTAAAAACTATGTCGATGCAGATCATATGAGGTTCATGCCATATTGTGTTCGTATTTTTCTGTGTTGTATTTATCTCCATTGAGATGATATTTGACCACATTCTGTACTATTTTGTATTGTGATACTTAAATATGTTTAACAACAACGAGATGGTGGAAGTCTGAAACAAATTATTTAATTTAATCTTGATATCGATATTGTTCAATGAGTTTGATATAAAATCGTCTGTATAAAGTAGACTTTTATGTGGTTTTCTAAAAGTAATTAACCGGTGAAATATTGTACAAGTATGTATATTTATGTATTATGCAATAAACCCATTCGTTTCATAGAATATTTTTAAACTTAATATTTTGATTTACATGTAAAAACCCCCGTCATTCAGGTGTTGGTCGGAGGTGCGATGAAAAAAATTGATCGGTACATGCGAATGTGGTAAAACCACTAGTATTGTGTTATAAGGCGGTGAAAATGATGCAATGGTTTGATGAAGATATAAAGGGTATGATTAAATGGCTTTGAAGTTCTATAGTGGAAAAAGGTGAAGATAAAGAATAGCGATCGATCTCATAATATTTGCAAAACATAGCAATCTTTAAACGCGGATCCCTGGGAACTGTTGCTTGGGAGAAAAAGGTTTACCCTGTTGACCGGTCATAACCACTTTGAGCAAAATGTATTTATCAAGAATATTTAGGAAGGGGTATTCCGTAATCAAATTAATTATTAAATGCCAAACAATTGGTATGAAACAAGTCAGCCAAAGCACAACGCAATGATAGGTTATATTTGATAATAAAGTAATTAAAACGACAAATCTCGCTTTTAAATCTGCATATCGTATTTATATATTTATTGGCGGATCCAAATTTCTGTCTTATTCATATAATTTTATATACAAAATAAACATTGATTCAATGGCACAAGTATTTTAAAAAGAAAAAAGAACTAGCAGTATATAGATAACAATTTAAATACAAAAACTTCATTCAACGACCAGTTCTAGCTTTTAGAAGATAGAACAAGTCTTCACCAGTTCACCGGCATTGTTTTTACGCATCAAGGCTCCAAAAAAGCTTAATAGAGACGTGTAGCAACGGTTTTCAATTTGGGGGAGGGGGACCTCCGAAAAAAAATAAAATCTGTGTACTACAGAGATGTGCCACACGTGTACCATCAGATCTATTTTCCAATTTAAAATCAGAATGTTTTTAATAAAATAATTTATATGTGACCAATATGACAAGGTAAATGTATTTACGAGTTGAATTTTATTGAAAAAGCAGTTGTCTATTTTGTCAAAAAGCCTGGATTCATAAAACTTATTTTCTTAAGTTTATAAATTCAATAAAGCTATGTATTTTTTTTACTTAACATCTCTATGTTCATTTTACTAAATTTTAAGTGTAATTTATAAACATATACAGCTTTACATGTATTGTGCTTAAGTATTGACTTATAGTTACGTGCCCTCGGGAGGTGTCTTAAGTAACTAAGAAATTCTTAAGTTTTCTCTAATATAATAACAATACAGTGAACAGGAGAAATTTTAATCTTAAATTAAAAAATCATGCTACAACATCTAACAAGAAACTTTTTGACTTTAAATAAAATTGTAGAATGTTGATGACATAGCTGTACATTTCAGTTAAAATGCAGTACACATAGAGGTAAGTATAGTGCACTTTTTGTTCGGGAATTTCCATGCGTTGCTATGGTGACTTAAGTGCTCTAATTGTCTCAGAATTAAACTTAGCAATGAATTACGCTCAAAATATTGATGAACATTACTTAAGATACTTTTTTGACTAAGAGTTTATTTATACTTAAATGTGTATCTTAGCACAAATCTTACGTATCAAAGTTATGAATCCCAGCCCCGGACTTCATTTTATCATGGGGAATGACTGAACAGTATTGCAAAGTCATACGCTTTGATCATGTTAATGAATTAAGGATATAACGAACAGTATTCAACCTCAGAATCCATTTAAACAACAAAAATAGGTAGCAGAGCAAACATAAACGTCTAAAAACACCTGAAGTGAGAACATATGGCATCAAGGAGTGAGCAACCTCTGTCGACCGATTACAGCAGCCGTCTGCTTCTTATCATGATCGGGAAAATCTGTTAGTATGACAAAGGTCAAAGTTCCAAGGAGTTATGTATCCACATCTGATTCACACTGTTTCTTGATTTTACTGCACTGGTGTACAGTGCGTTTGAAGTTTCTCCTTGGCTGCTGTATAATATTCTACTGAGGAGTAAAGAAAGAGGCTTGTAGAACATTCACTGTAACCACTCGAACTAGTATGTATCTTTGTTTAAAATGATTTTAGGAATTTTTGAAATCCAGTACAGATATGACAATTCAAACTCATTTTGATTGAAATGAAGGATATGGAGATAACGAACAGTATTCAATATCAAAGCCCATAAAACAATACAAAATAAGAGCAGAAAAAACACGGACCTCCAAAACAGCAGAGGTGGGGTCAGGTACCATGGAGTAGTGAGCATCTCCTGCCGAACAGTCACACCCGCCATGTGTCCCTTGTCATTATTGGGAAATAACCGAAAAATCCATTGTCAATTCAGTGTATAAATAATGGACTAACAATTAGCATGAAAAACGTCAGTCATCATTTGAGTCAATGACAAATTGTACTTGCTGACACGGTCATTGTATCGACCATAGAACTTACGAAATGATGACTTTAAACGCAAGTGCTAATATTCCGGTTTCATCAACTTGTTTGTCAATAATTTACCTCGTTTTGGAAATTGTACATACGTAGAGCATATTCTTGCGTATCGAATCAATTGAGAGATATAGACTTCGTATGCAGGTGATGAAGGTATCGGGTATATTGCTGCATAAATAACGGAAGTTGATGATAGAAAAGTTAAAGTCATCTCGTTTATCATAGAGTTTGGTTGTTAGATTACCATTTACGTCTTTTTCAAGTAAAAATGAAACAGATATGTCAGACTCTGTGGTATCTTTTATCTCAAGCTCACTAGGATATATCATATCGACAAAGGAATGGAAATTACCATTGTTAATTGACAATAAAGGAATGCTAAAAGTATTTGAAGACTGACATATAGTTTCGAAGAATTTCATTTCATTTCTTAGAAAAAAATATTTTGGTATAAATTGTATTATGATTTGCAGATTAAAATGTCATTTCCATGAAAACGCATGCAATTAAAAAAAATTATGAGCTTTACAAACAAAGATAATGTCTTCTTTGTCAGATGGGAAAAATACGTACTGATCGTGTAATTTATCCAATTATTGCTTCACTTCAAGGATAGATGATTTCATTTTATTTGAGAGTTCATTGAATTGATAGCAGCATACGTAAATCAATCTAATTAAAATCAGACTTCTTAGAGTTACACTTGAAATAATGTATAGCAGCATTTTAATTAATAGATTGATACGTAAATCCGGCTGTTTTTGAATAATAATGCAATTCTGCTCGTTAAATGCAAAAGATTTTCACGAAACGCTTTCATTCAATACATATGCTGGCATTTTCTTGCACGTCAGACTTTGTATCTATTTTAAAAACAACAACATATAATCATAGTTCTGTTTTTTATGATTGTGTTTTTTTTCAAATAAATGACGGAACAGTGAACCGAACATGAGTGACGCAAATAAATTTTCAATTCTTTATGCTACAACAAAACTTATAAAAAATTATTTCTTAAATTATTAAAAACCTTGGTAGATTCATGTGCAATGTGTTAAAACAAAGACCGATGACGTACACCTAAAGCCAGCACCTGATTTAACGTGTACCCACCTGCTCCACTGCGTGTGCTTTGCTGTTCAAAGGGAGGTAATTGACAAATGGACATGAGAAAAACATATTTCAGTCTTAAACTTGGCCATTTACTTGTAATGTAAATCTATTTCCCTTATTTTTATATTTAAAAAAAAAAGGTATATCTGTTAAATTCAGAACCTGGCAGAGATTTCATTTAAAGGTATATTAATCTATTAAATTCCCTGCGGTCCACGAAACATATTGATAACTACTAGACATTTGCCGAGATAAAAAGAACAGCCCTCTCTTGACTCCGCCCCAGTAATCTTAAAAAGCCGACCCCATTGAAAGCGAGTAAATAAGGCTTAAAGTAATAGTGCGGTCATTTACATACAGCTCTCTTTGATGTCCCCAGAGGATGGACAACATTCTAATTATTTTTTTAGACATTCCCAGTCAAATGTTTGGACACTATAAACATTTTTGAAATGTTTCTTGCATTAGCAACAAAAATCTCAGGTTAATAATTTTGCCTTATTTCTTGCTCTTATTTTCAGTTTCTACATTTCAACAGTTTATCTGAACATGAAAGATTCTTTGGTTAATTTATTGTTGTTTTTTTTTTCATTATATACTTGAGGGTAGTTCGATCATCAGTTTCTGTTTATCAGTTGCTTTTGAGTGAAAATTTTCACAAAAACGTCTGAAATCACAAGGTAATGTTTTACTTACCTGTGGTTTTTCAAAGTTCATAATTATGATTAATCATATTAAATATGGAAAATTATCAAATCTCATATATTTTTAGGAAAGGCAAATAAAAAAAAAAATTTTTTTTTTTTAAATGGTCAACAAATATAACTTAGGATAAATATATATCCAAGCATTCGTAGAAGGTGCTTAAAAAAAAAACAAGCTAATTCAGAGAATTCTTCCCCCGCTAAAAAAAAAATTATTAAATGTATACATGTATACTGAAGGAAATAAAATACATGTATGTCAATATGCATATAAAGATTTGATTGCTTATTCTTTATTATGTGTATAGTTTTTTTATTTTTTATCACACTGTAATGATGATTTTATAACTCATAAATTTTTCATTTCACATGCTGAATGTAAAAAAAAAAAGTATTTAAAAAAAAAAAAAAAAAAAAAAAAAAGGTTCACCCGAGATTCGATTCCGGGACCACACACATTTGAATCGAGTGAAAAAACCAAAAGACCACGGAGTCGCTATAAATGGAGTGAAGTATATGCAGAACCGAAGTCACATACATGTATATATTCATGTTTTCATGTTCGGTATTCTTAAAATTATACACAATCCATGGTGTTTGATTTATTTAGCCTTTATTAAATAGTTCTAATAGATGTAATAAGAACATAAAGTCCGCCGAGAACCTGTTTTATACGCAATAACTCTCCTCATGCCCCTGCGCTAAAAATAGCGACATGTAATACTATAAATACTAATAAAACAAA